CTGTTCGGATAAAGAATTGACAGTAATAATGTAAGGAAAGGACTCCAAGGGACTGCGACGATCAAACAGCTCTACCTTGAATCCTCATGATCAAGAAGATCTTACTACTTGAATCTGCTAGCTCCAATACCTGGATCTGCACAAAAATGAACAAAAGTATAGTATGTATACCATGGTCGGTATCTAGTAAGTATCAAGACTAACCTCAATAGAGTAGTGACAAGATTCAAGTAAAGACACCCACTAATCAAATAACCTGTGCATATCAATATAACGCTAGCGGAAAGCAAAGTCAACAAATGGCACAAAGAGAAATCATATGATAAAGCAACAAAATAATCAAAGCACAGATAAAATACAAGTGAAAACAATTAAGAAAAAATAATGACAATTCTAATCATCAAACCGTTTCGACATAGGATTTACAACAAGAGTCACCCCGAGGCACCACACCTCATAATAAAAAATCTCAAGTCACAAATCACGAATCTTAGACACATGGTACCTCGTGCCCACATTATCAATCACCCTTGCATGGCAAAGACCTAGTGCCACAACATAAGACATACCCCGTACGAAAAAGACCTTGTGCCACAATTTAAGCTGCAACCGCACTGACAACTCACGTGTTGTACGGACAACTTACGTGTCAATATCACAAACCGCCCGGCATGATCACAGGCACAATATCATAATCCACCCGGCATAGTCATGGGCTCAATATCACAATCCGCCTGGTGCAGTCACGGGCACAATATCACAATCTACCCAGCGTGGTCATGGCCTACCAGTCCAAACCACATCGCAAAGAAAGCAGATATACAAGAATACATGTACATGATCAATGAACATTAAGTTTCATACTCCTGGACTAGTATAGATGACATGTTATGGTATATGCATGTGCAAGTGTACTGTCACAGCTCGAATCATCAATTAATATTAGAGACACCGAGTAGCATATTGGGAACAACACAACAAATCATGTAATATGCATGAAACACACAAGGAAATCAAAAGTAACTACCATAATACTCCTCTTTCATCAAAAACATGCCCCCAGACCATCACATAACATCCCCATATAGCCACCCTTATCCCACTGTATTGACAATATCATAATAGCCACCCGTATTGCTTCGCCAAAATAATATATATCAATAGTCACCCATATTGCTCTGCCCCAACAATAACACAATAGTCACATGTATCACTCCATCCAAACAATAACACAATATCCACCCAAACAGTATATTAATAGCCACCCGTATCGCTCTACACAATCGCCAATAATGAAATTCCACCCTTATGTCCCGCACAACAACAACCAATCCCCGCAATATTTCCACATATGCCATAATATTGCCAAAATAATAATAACAATATCACAATAAAGCATTGCCCATGACTTCAATAGTGTATAAAAGAATTTCAACAACAACAAAATAAAACGGGAAATAAATCAACAATGAATGATATTCCATATAACAACAACTTCAATTAAAAGCATAGTAATAACCTAAGAGTCTAAATCGGTCAATTTCGATATATAAGCCCGGGTACATACTCGTCACCTCGTGTACAAATCTTTTACATAATTCAAATAATACAATTAGATCAAATCCTACGGGGTTGTTTCCCCCACAAGAAGTTAGGCAAGATACTTACCTCAAAGAAGCTAAATAAATCTACTAATAACTCCTTTTCGCGTGAATCAACCTACAAACGGCTCAAATCTATTCAAAATAACTTAATATCATAAATAAAAGCCATAGAAAACTATTCCGAATAATAAAGATTCGATCTTGAATAAGAATAAAAAAGCCAACCAAAACGTCAACCTCGGGATCTGTACCCTGAAACCCGACAAAACTCATAAATTTTGAACACTCATTCAAATACGAGTCCAACCATACCAAAATAATTTAATTCCGACCTCAAATCGGCCTTCAAATCATCAATTTATGTTTTAAAAAAGTTTTTACTAAAATTCTCAATTTCTCCAATTCAAATCATCAATCAAACACTAAAATCGAGATTGGAATCATGAAATATAACCAAATCTAAGTAAAAAATACTTACTCCAATCCAAATCATGAAAATCCCCTCCAAAATCGCCCAAAACTGAACGCTCTAACTCAAAATATGATAAAATAACAAAAGCCCTCGAAATAGAGTACTTATAAGCACTGCCAGTTATATGCATCGTGATTGCTGCATATCCCTCGTGATCGCGTAGAAGAAAAGTAGCACTGCCAGCAAAAGCACTTCGCGAATGCGACTCCTGCCCCAAGAACGTGTAGCTCCACTCTATCAGACCATCGCGAACGCGTTGACCAAAACCCCCCAGCTCCTTTGCTGAAATGCGATTGCGAACTCGAAGGACAAGTTTATCCAGCCCAGATTCCCTTATCTACGAGCATGATGGCTCCCTCGTGAATGCGATGAACAATGAGCCCAACTGACAAAATACCCATTGCGATCGCATCTGTGCTCCTGTGATCGCGAAGCTCAACTGGAGCACCTGAAAACTCAGAGAAACCAGCAGCTCATGCAACCTCCAAAATGGACTGAAATCAATCTGAAACGCACCCAAGCCCCTCGGGACCCCGTCCAATCATACCAACCAATCCCAAAATATAACACGGACCTACTCGAGGCCTCAAATCATGACAAACAACATAAAAACTATGAATTGCACCCCGATTCAAGCCTAATGAACTAATAAACTTTCAACTTTCAAAACTCATGTCGAACCATATGAAATCAACCCGGAATTATCTCAAAATTTGCATGCAAGTCCCAAATGATACAACAGACCTATACCAACTCCCGAAATCTCAATCCGAATTCGATATCTGTAAAGTCAACTCTCGACCAAACCTATCAACCTTCCAAACCTCCAACTTTTCAACCTTGTCAATTCAAGCCAAAATAACCTAGGAGCCTCCAAATCCACATCCCGACATTTGCCTAAGTCCAAAATTACCATACGGATCTAGCGGAATCATCAAATCTCCGATCCGAGATCAAATACGCAAAAGTCAAATTTGGTCAACTCTTCCAATTTAAGGCTTCTAAAATGAGAATCATTCGTCCAAATCAATCCCCAACAGCTCAAAAACTGAAACCGACCATACACTCTAGTCATAATATATCATATTAAGCTACTCGCAACCTCGAACCACCGAACGGAAATGCAAATGATCAAAATGATCGGTGGGGTCGTTACATAATTATATCTTGGTTTTGAATGCTTAGTTGTCCTAAATAATTTGACAATTTTGTTAATTCTTTTCATCCCTACTCCATAGTAGTACTAAATAAAAATTCTCAACTGTTACTCGTAAGTTATAACTATAATCAACTATGATTGTGCCATTTGTTTTGTTCTTATCGAACATTAAAAATTGTTTAAGTTTAAGAGGTGGAAATTCTACAATGTCGTGGGGAAAACTAGTTGTCAGATTTAGAGGATGTTTGGCTAAGCTTATAAGCTGGTCAAACTAGTTTATAAGCACTTTTCGGTTTATTTACGCATTTGATAAAATTAAAAGTGCTTATAAGTCAAGTGCTTATAAGCATAAGCCAAAAGCCATAAGTTGGTCATCCCCAACTTATGATTTTTCTGCTTATAAGAACTTTTTGTTTGACCAAGAGGGTGTTTGGCTAAGCGTATAAGCTGGTCAAATTAGCTTATAAATACTTTTCGGCTTATCTACGTGTTTGGCAAAGTTAAAAGTGCTTATAAGCCAAAAATAAGCCAAAAGCTGGTCACCCCCAACTTATGATTTTTTAGCTTATAAGCACTTTAAATTTGACCAAGATTTTTACTATTTTATCCCTAAAATAATGCTTTTTAAAACAAAACTCACGTATCCCTACGTCAAACCTATTTCTTCACCGCCTCACGTATTGATTCAAACCTAAACCCTCTGCCTCTTCAAGTCTGCAATTCTCACTAATATTTGAGGTAAGCAAATTCTCTATTTCTTTGCATATTTGTATTTATGTAAATACTAGTGTCCTCCCTGATGAATCCTATAAAGTTATGCATTAGGTCTTCAACTATCTTGTTGCAGTATTGTTCTGATAACTAATATTAACTACTAAAACTGAAATTTATATTTTGAATTACAAATCTTATTGTAATATTATAGGAACCCTAGCCTACATATTTAAACCTCTTTTCAGTTCAAACTATGTTCTATACTTCTAATATATCTCTTGTTCATAGTTTTATTCATACGGGCTAATTGGAATTGAAAGTAAAGAGACCTGATGCTCCAATGACGTTTCCTCGGTGATTATGTATTCAAGTAGGTTAGTGTCCTATTACAGAATATCAAAGATAAATCAGAAGTTGGAAAACTGTGCCATTCTATAGTTTATCTAGTTATATAAAGTTGCAAAAAGTAGCCACGCTTAGCAGGCAACTCATATGGAAAAGGAAGTGAAGAAATTTTTGAAATTACAAGTGAATGAACATGACTAGCGGGAATATATAGAAATTGGACTCTCAGATTCACTTTCTGAATTAGATCGTTTTATGAGAGTAGTGGTCAAAGCAAAATCTAGCTAGCTAGATCATATAGATATTGCTAAGCTTAATTAAGGATTTAACGGTCTTCTGAGGAATCACTCCAAAAATATAACAAATTTTCTATCAATAATCTTAATCTTCTGAGATATGATTATGAGGAGGAACTTGTCATATAAAAAGAATTTACATCAGACATGTCATATAGAGAGCTCCTTGTTATGCAAAACATTCAAGATCAGGTTCCGAAAAAGAAAAGAAGACTGTTACTTTCTAGTAAGGTTATCTTTTTGCTAATTCTCATACCTCTCGTGCATATCTGTATTTCGTTCCTTTTTGTTGTCATATTTGCATCTTTTTGAACTTGTGTTGCAATGATCTTTCTATTGGTATTTGTCATCTAATTTTTAATTAGGATAAACTAAATGTTGTATTCTCTTCAGATTGTTTACATTCAATTATGGCGGATACTATTTTGGGACAAAATAATGCTAAGTGGGATGAATATGCACACATTAAATTCATTGAATTATGTGAGCAAAAAGTTAGAAAAGAAAATAGGCCAAACACTTACTTGTCGAAAGATGGAGGGAAGAATATGGTAAATGAGTTTAATAAGAAGATGGGTTTACAATATACTAGAAAACAAATGAAAAACCATTAGGATCATATGAAATCCGAGTGGACTCTTTTTAAACAGTTAATGAGAGGTGAGACAGGTTTAGGATGGGATCCCACAAGAAAAATTATTATTGCAGGTGATGATTGGTGGGAGCAAAAAATAAAGGTACATTGCTGTAACGACCCGACTAGTCGTTTTGAGTATTTGCACTTCGCTCTATTATTTACGGGTGTGAGTAGCTCCGTATGATGTATTTTGACTTATGTGAATCGTCGGTTTTGGTTTTCAGGTATTTCGGAATCGAATTGGAAGAATGAATTTCATTATTGAAGCTTTAAATTGGGAGAGTTGACCAAGTTTGACCTTTTAGCATTTGACTTCGGATTAGAATTTTGATTTTCCATTAGCTCCGTCAGGTGATTTTGAACTTAGGAGCGCGTCCAGATAGTGATTTAGAGGTCCGTGGTTGAATTTGGCTCGAAATGGCGAAAGTTAAAATTTTGGAAAGTTTGACCGGGAGTGGACTTTTTGATATCGGGGTCGGATTCCGATTCTGGAAGTTAGAGCAGGCCCGTAATGTCAAATGTGACTTGTGTGCAAAATTTGAGGTCAATCGGACGTGATTTGATAGGTTTCGGCATCGGTTGTGGAAGTTTAAAGTTTCAAAGTTTATTGAATTTGAATTGAAGAGTGATTCGTCATTCCGATGTTGTTATGTGTGTTTTGAGGCCTCAACTAGGTCCGTGTTATGTTATGATACTTGTTGGTATGTTTGGACGTGATCCCGAGGGGCCCGGGTGAGTTTCCGCGTTCGCATAGGTTACTGCAGATCGAGCATCACATTCGCGTAGGTGTTCACGCGTTCGAATTGTAGAGCTGAGCTGGGCAGGTCTTCATGGCTTCTTCATCGCGTTCGCGAGCCTGGGGCTGCGTTCGCGTAGGTTCTTTTTTAGACTGAGCAGTTTATGCTTCACGAGTGCAAAGCTTATTATGCGATCGCGTAGTGTATTTTCAGGGGCAGTGCATTTTCTTCTTCGCGATCGCAAAGGTATTTCCGCGATCGCGATTCATTAATTCACTCAGTGATTATAAAGTACTCTATTTCGAGGGTTTCGACCATTTTTGCATTTTTGGGAGCTATGGAGCTCGGATTGAGGCGATTCTTGAAGCAATTTTGACCATATGAATTAAGGTAAGTATTTTCTACTCGATTTTGGTTATATTCCATGAATTTATCTTCGATTTTAGCTTTTGCTTGATGAATTTTAAAGAGGAAATTGTGGGTTTTGGCCTAAAGTTTCATAATATGAATTTTTAGTTTTGAACACCGATTTGGAGTCGGATTTGAGTGAAACTATTATGGTTGGACTCGTAATTGAATGTGTTATTGGATTTTGTAGGTTTTGTCGAGTTTCGAGGCATGGGCCCCGGTGTGATTTTTGGCCGGATTTGGGATTTGATGTAGAATTCGATCTTTATCATTTGTAATTGCTCCCTTGGGCTTTATTTGATGTATCTGAGTTGCTTTTGGCTATCTTTGAGCCGTTCGGAGGTCGCTATGCGTGTGATGGAATTTTTGGAGCATCGCTTGGCTTGCTCGGTGTTGGAATTGGCTTGTTCAAGTTAAGTAACTCTTCTAAACTTAGTGCTGAGGGTTTGAAACCCCAAATTACGTGTTGTGTGATTGGTATTGAGACCTGTAAATTGTGATTCCATTGTTTCCATGGCACTGTATAGTGGCCCTATTTTCGTTGATATCTGTGTTTTCACCATGTGATAAAGTAACTGAGGTGTCAATCATGCTAGATATCTTGTTTAGGCTTTATGCTGATATTGTTAGGACCTATAGAGGTCGTTGCTTGCTGTCATCTCACTGATTTTATTGAAATTTCGTACTCGGTCATATTCATGCATTTATATCATATATCAGTCTTAGTTGTTACTTATTGATACATCATATCATTGTTCCGGGTCAGGTTTCATGACATTGTGAGCCCGTGGGTGAGACTGGAGAGATTGATGACTGAGTGAGGCCGAGAGCNAGCAGTTTGTGCTTCGCTATTGCATAGCTTATTACATGATCGCGTAGTGTATTTTCAGGGGCAGTGCATTTTCTTCTTCGCGATCGCGATTCATTGATTCGCTAAGTGATTATAAAGTACTCTATTTCGAGGGTTTCAACCATTTTTTTCATTTTGGGAGCTATGGAGCTCGGATTGAGGCGATTCTTGAAGAAATTTTCACCCTATGAATTGGGGTAAGTGTTCTCTACTCGGTTTTGATTATATTTCATGAATCTATCTTCGATTTTAGCGTTTGGTTGATGAATTTTAAAGAAGAAATTGGGGGTTTTGGCCTAAAGTTTCATAATATAAATTTTTGTGTTTTGAACATCGAATTGCGGATTTGAGTAAAACTAGTATGGTTGGACTCGTAATTGAATGAGCTGTTGGATTTTGTAAATCTTGCTGGGTTCTGAGGTCCGGGCCCGGGTTGGGCTTTTGGCCGATTTTGGGCTTTTGATTCAAGATTTGATCTTTTTCGATAGGGATTGGTTCCTTTAGCATTGTTTGGTGCATTTGAGTTGTTTTTTGTTAGTTTCGAGCCGTTCGGAGGTCAGAACGCGGGAGATGGTATCTTTGGAGCATCGCTTGGCTTGCTCGGCATTGGTATTGGCTTGTTCGAGGTATATAACTCTTCTAATCTTACTGCTGAGGGTATGAAACCCTAAAATATGTGTTATGTGATTAGTATTGAGGTGACGCACATGCTAGGTGACGGGCGTGTAGGCATGCACCCTGTGAATTGTGATTCCGTTGTTTCCATGGCATTGTATGGTGGCCTTATTTTGTTGATATCTCTGTTATCACAATGTGATAAAGTAGTTAAGCTATCAATCATGCTAAATATCATGTTTAGGCTTTATGCTGATATTGTTAGGACCCATAGTGGTCATTTCTTGTTGTCATCTAACTGATATCATTGATATATTGTACTCAGTCATATTCATGCATTCATATCATATCTCAGTCTCAGTTGCTGTTTATTGATACATCATATCATTGTTATCGGGATAGTTTCATGGCATTGTGAGCCCGTGAGTGAGACTGGAGAGATTGACGACTGAGCGAGGCCGAGGGCCTGAGTGAGAGTGACCTTCTGGGATTGGGCTGTACGCCGCAGCATATGATATTGATTATATTTTATATGGATTGAGTTGCACGCCGCAACAAGCCTTTGGGATATATATATATATATAGGATCGGGTTGCGCGCTGCAACAATATTGGATCGGGTTGCATGCCGCAACAATATTGGATCGGACTGCACGCCGCAACAATATAGTGCTTGGGATGAAGGAGCCCCTTCGGAGTCTGCACACCCCCAGTGAGCGCAGTCAACTATATATATGTGGATCGGGCTGCACGCCGCAGTGGGTATTATACAGTGCTGAGTGATTGAGTGTGCTGAGCCTTGAGCATAGTGAGAGAGAATGCGAGACAGTGAGATTGAGTACTCTGAGAGTGTGAGTACATGAGTTCATCTCTGAGATGCATTGCATTGACATGCACACATGACATACATACATAAAGATGTATTTTCTTCATGCTGTACGTTAACATCATTCATGATTTCTCACACATGTTGACAGATGGGCATAGTGATGCATTTGTTTTACACTGGTTATGTGGAAAGAAAAATGAAACATCTTATTTATTATGGAAAGGATTTTGGGAAAATTATTGTCTTCAAACTTATTCATATTTTTGGTAACTCTGGTAAAAGATTTGGGTTTTTGATTGAAGTACTCGAAAGGCGGAACTATTTTCAGAAATCATGTTTTGTTGAACATTTGATTGTTGAGTTACTTCTGGTATTACTTATTTTATGTTGTTATGAACTATTATTGGTTATTGAAGTTGGGACCCGACCTTGGTACAAGCTCGTCACTACTTTCAACCTAAGGTTAGGTTTGTTACTTATTGAGTACATGGGGTCGGTTGTACTCATACTATAATTCTGCACCTTGCGTGCAGATGTTGGCTGTTGTTGTTGCTGTGTTCGATGGGAGCTGGATTGAAGATATAACTGCATCCCGGCTATAGCTGCCTCTTGTTCGTGGTAGCTTTAGATTTGTAAAACTCTATTTATGTACTATTCAAACAGACTATGTATTTATTTCATTTCCGCTTTGTAAATTCTATTCTTAGAAGTTCATGATTTGTACTACCAGTTCTTGGGGAATGTATTAGATTCAGATATTTCTTTACTTAATTAATTTATTAATTATTATTAGAATTGGTTAGTGGTTAATTGGCTTACCTAACGGGTTGGGCTAGGTGCCATCACGACTAGTCGGATTTTGGGTTGTGACAATTGCTTGTGTTTTTCTATAATTATTTCATAACTCTTTTAATTCTTAATATCCTTTGTTTACTTAAAGCAATTTTAAATTTTTATAGGAGAATTCTAAATACAAAAAATATAGAAACAAAGACCTCTCTCTGATATGGTTCCGTTCTGATGCTCTATTTACTGATATTATTGCCACTGGAGAGAGAGCACGTGCAGCGAATCAAGAACAAGAGTCTGAAGTTGGGTTAGAACAAGATGATGATGGAACAAATAATGTTTATGATAATGACGTAGAACAATGGAATAATGAAAGGAGTGATGAAAGTTACGACTTGCAGAATATAGATTCAATTACATTCCCCAAGCCATCACTTAGAAAGTGAAGTCAATAGACGGCAGTGGCAGTAGTAGTCAAGTGAAAAAGCGCAATACAAAAAATAATTCATTATCGCTAAAAGAGGAGATACACTCCTTAATTGAGTTTATATCTAACAAAAGCACATCTCATGCAGCATCAGAACCAACCATTGAGAAGTGAATGGATATTTTAGAAAATATTCCTGGTATTCTTGAAGGGAGTGATATTTTTAGCTGTGCTGTAAACTTGGTGACACAGAAAGAGATGCGACATGCATTTATCAAATTATCTACTGATGAAGCAAGGTAATCTTGGTTGGAGTATAATCACAGACGATCATTCGTGCCGAACAATCCATCTAATCCAGTATGAGAAGTTATTGTGAGATATTACACTGGCATTAAATATTATTTAATCTGCTCTTTAAACTATATGCATGGAAGTTTATAATTTTTTTATATTTGGTGTCATGTTCAGACATAATGGTGGTATGATTATTTTTTGTTTAGACATTATATGTCTTTATTTTAATTGATGACTATCTACTTTAGAGTTAGCATTTGTCATTTTTAATTCATAACAATATACTTTTTTATTATAATTGATGACTCTCTAATTTAGAGTTAGTATTTATTATTTTTAATTCATAACAGTATGTGTATCTATTTTATTTTCAGTTTAATGGCCTGTTGGAATATTGACAAGTTGATATTTAGTCATCCAAGTGACTTGTTAAATGAAAAAAATGAAGAAGAGGAAAGTCAAGAAGATAAGGAATGGATGGCACTATTTCAAATTGCATGTAAGAGTATATTGATATATTATGAGAAATACATTTGCAAGGAACCATGTCGTACATCTAAACACATTGGGAATATATTTATCGACGAGATATTACATGGAAATGAGACTCGTTGTTATGAAAATTTTCGACAGAGGAAGTCAGTGTTTCTTGATTTAAGAAAAGATCTAACTGATAAATATGATCTTAAACCCACACGTGAGATGTCTGTGTATGAGGAGTTAGGGATGTTCTTGATGATTTGTGCACGTGGTACCGGGAATCGGTGAGTACAAGAGATTTTTCAGCACTTAGGAGAAACAATTCATAGACATTTTTATAGTGTTTTAAAGGCCATTGGTAAACTTGCAAGAGATATAATTCAACCACATCCAAATTATAATAATGGCACAGGAGATCACAAGCCATGTAACCAATGATATCTCCCTTTCTTTAAAGTAATTTACCATTTTTTAATTAGTATATTATTATGTTTTTACATTATAACTCAAAAACCTTTTGCTGTAAAATTACATTTAATTTATCCATGTATATATTTTTAGGATTGTATCGGAGCACTTGATGGCACGCATGTAAAATCAAGATTACCTCAAGGTCAAGAGATATCATATATCGGGCGCATAGGTTACCCTACTCAAAATATTCTTGCTGTTGTCGACTTTAATATGTGTTTTACATTTGCATAGGCTGGGTGGGAAAGAGCTACTCATGATAATCGTATATTTGGTGAGGCTCTTCGTAGACCCGAACTGAACTTTCCATATCTATCTGGGGATAAATATTATCTTGTTGATGCAGGATATTCACATATGAAGGGATATATGGCACCATACAAAGGGGATAATGTGAGATACCACTTTGCAGAATTTTATCGAGGTGCAATACGGCAATTGTGAGCCCCAAGTGGACATAAAAGAATGTTCAATTATTTGCATTCTTCTTGTAGAAATATTGTAGAGTGAACATTTGGGGTATGGAAAGCAAGATGGTCTATTTTGAGAGATATGCCTTTCTATCATAGTGACACTTAAAGAGATATTGTACTGGCTACAATGGCAATTCACAATTACATTAGAAAGAAATATAAAGTGGACAATGCATTCCAAGAAGCTGAGAATGAGAGATATGTGCCACTTGTTGATCCTGATGTTGGAAGATCTGCACGCGTCAATGTTGGAAATATAAAAAATGTGGAAAATGAAGGAGATAATAATTTTTGGATGGCAGTTCGTGATCTAATTGCCCATGATATTTACGATAGTTGAATGTTTAGTTTAATTTGGCACAAACAGTACGCATTAAGTGTTTGTTTTTTCTCTTCAAATAGTTTGTCCTATTTAGGTTTATTTGTTTACTGAATTTTTTTGGTCAATTTATTAATTATTATTATATAACTTATGATTATATGCTTATCATAAAAATTATCTTATCTAATCACAGTTATATTTAAAATAAAATGACAAATATAATATTTTGTATTTGAATCGATCTCGAATCTAAAATTTTGAAGAAATTACACTCTTATAAGTGTAACCAGTTCTAAGATTGTCATTTTAACAGAAAAAGAGCTTATCAACACTTTTTTATCAAACACTGCAGCAACTTATTATCAATTTCAACACTTATATTCAAACATGTAACTGTTTATTTATTAAATCAGTTTCAGCACTTAAAAGTGCTTTTCAGCATCTAACGTTTATCAACTACTTCAAATAAGCTAATCCAAACAGGATCCAAAATTTTTACTTTTCTATCTCTAATATTATTCTTTAGTCCTCGAAATACCCTTAATAGAATAAACCCCTAAACCACTCCATGACTTTACTCCCTCTCCTCTTCACGACTTCTTTCGAAACTCCAATACCGTGCCACCATCAAGAGCAATCAAGAATCTCTTCCTCCATGAAAAGTCTTTCTCTGTTGTAAATCACTCTTCATTTCCTTTACTTGCTAAAATTCGTGTTTGTAAGAAAGAACGTGAGTTTTGTATATACTGATCGATTGTGGTCTCTCCCTCTAGGGGTAATTGTTGCTCCCAGACACACACGTAAGTATACGTGGTCGTACAAGTAATAAAATGATAAGTCGAGTGTCGAACCCATAGAGACTTGTATTAACTACCCACTAAATTCACTAAGACTGTTATTCAGTCGAGCCAATTCGAGTTCAAAGGTGTGATTATACTAAACAATAATTATAACTAGTAACTAAATTATCAAGCAACAAAATGGTTGTTGTGTATTCAGTATAGACAAATATTCCATGGTTGTGATCGATTCACCAATCCTATTGCGTTCTAGTTAAATCTCCCTTTCATACAATTCACTCATGGTTGCTAATTGTGAGCACCTCAATTTTGCCCCACATGGAAATTACTCCTAAAAATAGTAAAAAAATAATTTTTATGGTTTTTATGAATTTTAGGAGTTTTTCTTTATTTGGTTTTGCATTTATTCGTATTGTTTATGCATGCTAGGAATATCGTAAATCATAAAAATCATAAAAATGGTCAAATCTTAATTTCATAACATTTTAGATTTTAAATTGCATTTTAGGATTTAATTACATTGTTAAATACATTATTTAAATATCTAAAAATCAAAAAATACATTCTTAGGTTAGTTAATTAATTACGTCATTAGTCAATCAGTAAGTAAAATATATAAAATAGTTTGGTCACGCAAATTGGATTAAATTAAAATTTGAGTCCAAAATGGCTAATTTTGCAAAAGTCTAATAAAGAAGGAAAAGAAAGAACAGGGCTGTTGACTTTACAATTGAATTGGGCTGCCCTTTCAAGCCCAAATACCCGCTCAGTTTTGACCCTATACCCGTTTCAGCCCACATGTATGCCCGGTCCAACATGCTTCTTTAAACGACGTAATATTCATCTAAACTACGTCGTTTCTTCTTCTCCATCCCCTTAAACGAACTATCTTCCCAATTTCCTCCATAATAGACCCTTCCCTTGAGAAAGAACCCTAGCCGCCTCTCCTCCTACTTCACTCTCTCATCTGATCACACACACACGTTCAAAAGCACTCACTAGCATATGAATTCAATTCTGAAATTCAAAAGCCATTTATGAGATTTGGAACAAAAGGCTCGAAAATCAGAGGGAGATTAGAATCAAAAGCAATTTCTGAAATTAATCTTCTATTGCTATATTTATTCTACACTTTCGGGATTTTAAAGAGATCCGATTCAAATTGCCGTTCGATTTCCGCTGATTTTGCTGTTTCTAGAGTCGTTGAGCTCCATTCGAATTTGTTCTTGCCTTTATTTGGTTTATTCTAGCTTTTTTTTTGTGCGACCAGGTTAGTTTGAAACTTCTCTGTCTTATACTTTTAGAAAATGATTAAACAATTAAGTTCCGGTTCAGTTATTTTTGTGGCTATGCTCGAGTCTTGATCTCTGTTATTCTCCTTTATAAAATTAAAACGTGATGCCTATTTGAATTAATTAAATCCCTACTTTCCTTATAAGAATGATGCGTTGGTTATCTAATCATGTTAAGTTTAATTACATTTTTTACTTGAGAATTATTTAATTTCAGCAGATCTGCCTAGCTTTTTCTCTTATGTGATTCTATTATTTAGTGAAGTTTCCACCGAAGTACATGTTGATTTGTGAGTTTACTGGAAATTGTAGCAACAGTTTGGTGTTGAAAGCTGAGATTTGAAGATAGTCATTGTAATATGAATGGCATTGTGATAATCACCCGAATTGTTGCCACATCGACTCTGTAAATAATTTGATCATTCATAATTAAGTTTCATTCATTAGAGTGTCTTTTTTAATTTGTAAACCTTCTGCTGAACTAGAAGGACCTATGATTTTGACATGGCGGTTTGAAAACGATAAGTCAGTACAACAAATTTGAACAAGAAATGGGTTAGGAAAATTTAATGGAATGAATTGCGTATGTACCTCTATGTTGTGTTAATAATTGCAATTTGTTTAAATAGCCAAGTGTTTGAACGTTGGGTTATTTTCGCCCAGTTAGAGTCAATAGACTTTCCATAATCCATGGCCTTTAACTGCAATCTCAAACTTAGGAAAACGAATAACTTATAAACACCGTAGTTTGCTTTAGGCACGATCAATAATAAATTATTATGACTATAGGTACGGTTCCCATGGCATAGTCATGATACGTAAACCCCAATTCGAGTGTGCGTTTCACGCGACTTGACCTCAACTTCAAATAATAATAATAAATA